AGTCATATGACACTCGTCACTCGCAGATGCAATGTACATCACATAGTTTTGGTACCCAATACTTGCAACATAAATAATTAAACAAGATATCTTTTAAAATGTCATTTTACTCTTGGTCATATTATTTTATTCCCTTTACCGCCTTGAATTTCAAATCAATTACATATCGAACTTCTGTACATGTGTTTTTCTCTACTGCCTTTCCGTGTGAAAATAATGAGGTCATACTCATGTCACAATACTTTGAAGCTGATGCCATGTTGATGCCATGGGACTGCGAAGCTGAGGCCACGATGATGCCACAAAATAAGCGAGGTGAACACAGCTCCAATTTTCAATGACGCGAAGCTGATGCCACAATGATGCGATGCTGTGGCGACAATGAAGCCATGCGTAGGCGACAATGATGCCATGCTGAGGTGACAATGAAGCCACAAAAGCCAAAGCTTTCGCGAGAACTGTACTGTATGATAATGCAAAGAAACCAAAGTTATAATTTATACACTAACCCATCTTGGTCCATGCTATAACCGGTTCAGGGTTACCATATGCTCTACAAATAAACTCAATAGTTCTTCCTTCTACTGCAATCTGGTCAGACGGTCTACGATCAAAGCCAGGTGGAACTGAAAACATGCAATAAACATACACAAATAGGAATAAGTAATGTACATCTTTATTTTGAATTTGTAAGTCACAATATACTGGACTAGTATACTGTGAAATATTTTGCATGGATTTCATTTTCGCTATTTTTATGGAAGGTACATGTAGTTTGGTGCGGAATTAAATTCCACATGAATATTATCGAATTAAATATTCAGGAATACTAATAATCCCCACAATTAATAGAGTAGACACAAAACAAACTACAAAACACAAAAAATCATACATAAAATTGAAATACAAGTAATACAATGTACCAATGTTAAAACAATTTCACTTGGACACTCATTTGAGATGTTTTACCTCTGTCATGATGCATGAAATTAAAGCTGTTACTGCTTAAATTGCTTACAAGTGTCAGTTTCGTCTGTCATAAATTTAAAATAATAAAGTTCATTGATTGAATGGTAATCCACCTTTGTAAACAAAACAGTGGTAGATTGGAAGTCAGCATTTTTCAGGGGTGCAGGGTCTCGAAATCCAATAGTCATGTCTAATAGGAGTGACAATGTGAACATCTATCCCTCTATGAATGCTAGTTGCATAGCAATGCTGTCAGCTGGCCATGTCTTAGCACTACAGTATAAACCGATGAAAAATCGTTTACTTCAGTTTTAAAATACCGTTAATACGTTTACAAACTTGTCCACAATGTAAAAAAGTAATGAAATCTATATATCTGGAGAAAAAAACAAATTGTGTCACTGTTTTGTGCAAAAATAGAATATTTCACAATAATCTAGTCATTCTTCTCAGTAATTGAGTGTATTTGAAATCATACACTGAAATGACATATAATCCTCGTTTTTGAAATTTGAAATGAAGTCACCAGAACAACATACCATAAATATTCTAATTTAGGCACCACTCTAAGTAAGGCATCAGACACAACACACAAGCTATTAGTAAATATAAATAAAATAAATAAATATATATAAAGTATAAATATATATAACTACACAGACTCAAAATGTGTGGCCAAAATTTCCTACATTTGTTTTTCCAAATGTACAAGTAGATCTAAAATGTCATATGATCTGATAGGTCAAGTCGGTTATTTTCCGATCAGAATGGTGGGTTTCTACCACTAGTTCCCTCTTTTCATCACAATTTCACAAAATAGTTCCATTTATAGTCTGCACTTTCTTTCAGAAGTAGCCCAATTGAGTAAAAACTAAAAATTGATTCAAATTTTGTCTGTTAGCTCCAAATTTAGGGTTCATTTTCAGAAATGTTGTAAAATATAAGAAAAAAGTGCAGAAAATTTGGTGCAATGTTAAACTACAAATTTTAGAAACTATCATTGTTTCTTAATTTTGATTGTTTTTTTTTAAATTGCCACATTGTAACACAAACCGTTGTTGATACTAGTATTTTAAGAGTACTATATTGGTACATACAAACACTTACTGAGTACAATGAGTTGTGCCACAGCTGTTATACTATCCAATCCATTAGCCGCCAGACATTCATATGTACCATGGTCATTTCGTTCTACATTCAATATTTGTAATGAGCCAGAGGGTGAAACATTAAACTTTTCTGTTTTTCCATTAGGTATTATTTCATCCGATTTAGTCCATGTAATCGTGGGTCTTGGGTAACCGGTAGCACTACAATGTAATACAACACTCTCTCCTTCTCGTACTTCAGTATCTTCTGGTCTGTAAGAAAATGCTGGTGACCCTGCAAAGACAAGTTTAAACAATTTAAGATCAAGCCTAGTCATAGATGCCATGCTATGTTAATGCCACACCGTATCATATTGAAAGAATTACAATGACATTAATTTCCTGTTACTGTAAATGCATTAATTATTCACTGGGTTTTAATTTTGCTATTTTTGCTGATAAGTAAAACCTGCTAAATACTTATATACTAATGTACCTTGTGTATA